CAGTCCCCCCCACTCTGCTCCCCACACCATCCCGTATGCCCCCCCAGAACCCTCCCATGCTGCTCTCCTCACCCCCTTGAACGTGCCCCCCGATCCCATCCCCCCCACACTGCTCCCCCATCACCGTCCTGAATGCCCCCCCACAGTCCCCCCCTCGGCGTCCCCTGACACCTCCCCCAACCTCCCTCCCCACTCAGCCTCCTCCCTGCAGCCCAGACCCCCAACGCCACCCTAGGGCAGGGGTCCAGCCCTGAGCCTTGGTGGTCACTGGCAGCCGCGGAGGAGGGACAGTTGCACACACAACCCCGACCCAACGTTCACTGCAAAGTTTAATATGCAAAGCCGGGAAAGCCGTGACACTCGCCGCCCCGATCCCCCGGCCTGGGCCCTCCAGCCGTCCTGTCCCTGAGAGACTCCCCAGGCCCAGCAACGAATCCTCTCCTCCAGCTCTGGCTGCATCCGGCCTGTGGGAAGAGAAACTGTGGTCACGTAGGGCAGAGAACGTACTGCCAGCTACTGCACCCCACAGCAGGGGGCGCTGTGGGGCGCGGGGATTGCTCTGTGTCTGTACAGCACCTGGCACAACCGGGGCCCTGATCTCAGCGTGTTGATGCGCCACCATAACACGCAGAATAGGGGTGAAGATTTGGATGCGGCTAACATCCAAGTGCACGGAGATGGAGCTCTGCCAGCCCTTACCTGGCCTCTACTGGGATTTCATTCTGTCTGCAGCCTGCTCACTGCCACCTCTGTGGAGACAAATGCCCACGCCATGATCAGCTGGGACTGTCCCAGCCCCGATGCCACAATCGAAACACGTGATTCTGCACAAGAGGAAATATCCCCCCAACTGCCCCGCTCCGCAGAAAGGCAAGTCAAGAGAAGCTATTAAGCAGAACTCCCTTATTAGAGTTGATCAGAAAATGGGGCGGAGTTTCCATAGCAAATCACAACCCGCCCAATGGTTTTCCATTTCCGTCTAAATTTTGACATTGGCTAAAAAGTGTACAGTGCTCACTTTTTATTTTACTTTTATTACAAATATTTGCACAGTAAAAAACAAACGAAATAGTGTTTTTCAATTCACCTCACACAAGTACTGTAGTGCAATCTCTTTACCATGACAGTTGAACTTACAAATGTAGAATTATGCACAAAAAAATAACTGCAATCAAAAATAAACCAATGTAAAACTTTCGAGCCTACAAGTCCACTCAGTCCTACTTCTTGTTCAGCCAATCGCTCAGACAGACAAGTTTCTTTACATTTGCAGGAGATAATGCTGCCCGCTTCTTGTTTACATCGCACCAGAAAGTGAGAACAGGCGTTCGCATGGCACTGTTGTAGCCAGTGTTGCAAGATATTTACGTGCCATATGTGCTAAAGATTCATATGTCCCTTCATGCTTCAACCACCATTCCAGAGGACATGCATCCATGCTGATGATGGGTTCTGCTTGAGAACGATCCAAAGCAAAGCGGTCCGACGCATGTTCATTTTCACCATCTGAGTCAGATACCACCAGCAGAAGGTTGATTTTCTTTTTTGGTGGTTCGGATTCTGTAGTTTCCACATCGGAGTGTTGCTCTTTTAAGACTTCTGAAAGCATGCTCCACCTTGTTCCTCTCAGATTTTGGATGGCACTTCAGATTCTTAAACCTTGGATTAAGTGCTGTAGCTAGCTTTAGAAATCTTACACTGGTACCTTCTTTGCGTTTTGTCAAATCTGTAGTGAAAGTGTTCTTAAAATGAACAACATGTGCTGGGTCATCATCCAAGACTGCTATAACATGAAATATATGGCAGAATGCAGGGGACATACGATTCTCCCCCAAGGAGTTCAGTCAAAATTTAATTAACGCATTATTTTTTTAACAAGCATCATCAGCATGGAAGCATGTCCTCTGAATGATTGCCGAAGCATGAAGGGGCATACGAACATTTAGCATATCTGGCACGTAAATACCTTGTAATGCCGGCTACAAAAGTGCCATGCGAACGCCTGTTCTCATTTTCAGGTGATGTAAATAAGAAGCCGGCAGCATTATCTCCCGTAAATGTAAACAAACTTGTTTGTCTGAGCGATTGGCTGAACAAGAAGTAGGACTGAGTGGACTTGTAGGCTCTAAAGTTTTACATGGTTTTGGTTTTGAGTGCAGTTACGTAACAAAAAAAAAATCTACATTTGTAAGTTGCACGTTCCCGATAAAGAGATTGCATTACGGTACTTTTATGAGGTGAATTGAAAAATACTATTTTTGTTTATCATTTTTACAGTGGAAATATGTGTAATAAAAATAAGAATATAAAATGAGCACTGTGCACTTTGTAGTCTGTATTGTAATTGAAATAAATATATTTGAAAATGTAGAAAAACATCCAGAAATAGTTAATACATTTCAATTGGCATTCTATTGTTTAACAGTGTGATTAAAACTGTGATTATTTTTTTTAATTGTGATTCATTTTTTGGAGTTAATCGTGTGAGTTAACTGCGATGAATCAACAGCCCTAATTTTGACCAAAAATTAGCAAGAAACAAACAAAAAAAATGTCCAAACAAAGAAGAAAAAAAAGGCTGAAAATTGGGGGGGGGGGGGAGGATTGACCGAAAATTGGAAAACAAACAAAAAAATTGGCCTAAAAACCCTAAAAGAATGGCTGAAAATTGAAACTAATGTTGGCTGAAAATTGGCAAGAAACAAACAAAATATTGGCCGAAAACAATATTTTTACCAGAAACTGCTGAAATGCACAGCAAGGGGAAGGGAATTGGCCTGAAAACATGAAGAAGAAGAAAAAAACGGTCGTGAGGGGGAAGGTCCCAGAACCCGGGGCCCGAATGGCTCTGCTGCAATTGTCTAGCCCGGCAGTCTGGGCCAGATGACCCAGGCCAGACGCAGGAGTTTGAGCTGGTGGAGATGCGCCACCAGGATCCTTCACGGGCCTGTCTCATGAATGGGGGTCCCAGGCAGGCTGGCAGGACTGGGGCAGGAGGGCCGAGACTGCTTGAGTCTAGCGCTGCAAAACCTGCGTGGATTGGGGCTCACGAGACGTGGGGCCAAATGCTGGGGGTTAATGCAGCGCGGGGAGCGGAGGAGGGCTGGTAAACCGGGGTGCCCAGGGCCTAGAGGCTGCAGGGGGACACGTGAGGTGTGTGCCTGTAGGGCTGCCCTGTGTGGGTCTGGGGGGGGCCTTGCTTTTCCTGTGGAGTTGGGGAGCAGACCCCCCCCCCAGAGCACTCAGGGCAAGGGGGTCCATCACAGCCCTGGGTAGCCCCCGGCCAATGCCACACCCTGGTTCAGGTCCCTCACCCAAATGGGGCAGAGCAGAGGCATCACATGGCAGGGCTGTGCCCTGGTGGCGGGCAGGTGGCCACGCCAAGAGAGCACCCCCAGGTCCTAGCTGGCCAGGGAACGCATTCAACAGGCCTCGTCTCTGTTCAGCGTCACAAGGGAAGCAAATCTCAAAACGCCCCCGTGTTTCATGGAATGGAAGGCTGGTCCGGCCAGCCCGAGCTGGGTATGGAACCCAGGAGTCCTGCCCCCTCCCTCAACCCTACCCAGCTCTAATCACTAGACCCCGTCCCCTCCCAGAGCCGGGGAGAGATCCCAGGAGTCCTGGCTCCCAGCTCTGCCTGCTCTAACCACTAAGCCCCACTCCCCTCCTGGACTGATGAGAGAAGCTCCTGGCAACGGCCCAGACCTGAGCTAAGCTTAGGAAGTCTTGAGTCTCAGGAGCAGTGGGTAGGAGGAATGGGGGCGACCGTTGAGCCCCCAGGAAACACGGCTGCCTGTCCTAGAGAGAGGAGAGAGCATCCAGTCAGGATCTCTAGGGTCTCCTGGGCCCCTGTCCCTCTGCAGCCTCCCCCCCCAGGCCCTCAGGGAGCGCAGTGCTCCCCTATACAGCCCAGTGGGGAGGAAGCACAGCCCTACAGTGTAGTGGGGGAAACTGAGGCACAAGGCTTGACCCGGGGTCACAGAAAGTCAGTCGCAGACCGAGGACAGAACCCAGGAGTCCTGACTCCCAATGTCCCCACTCCCCAACCACTAGTCCCCACTCCCCTCCCAGAGCCAGGGAGAGAACCCAGGAGTCCTGGCTCCCAGCCCCCCCACTCTAACCACTAGACCCCACTCCCCTCCCAGAGCCGGGGATAGAACCCAGGAGTCCTGCGGAAGCGGCCTCTGCTGAACACGCACAGCTGATGTAATGCACTCCAGCCCCGCCTACCTGCTGGCGGGGTGCCCCACAGAGGGGTCCCGCTTGTCTTCCTGCCGACCTTTGCTCCGGCTCCTCGTGGTGCTGGGTCTGCTGGATCCCCAGCCCAGCTCCCCCTGTCTGTCCAGCTCCGAGGGCCGGGTGCTGCTGGGCCCTTGGCCCTTGGAGACTGCAGCTCTCGCATGGGGCGCCTGGCTCGAGGGGCTCTGGGAACGGACCCCTCCTTCCTCCCTGGCCTGGCTTTGGCTCTGCTCCCCCGATCTCCTCGGGGATGCGTCGCCGGCCTTCGTCCCCAGAGGAGCCCCGGAGCACGGGGAGCTGAGCCGACTCTTCCCCGCGCGGGGAGCCCTCTGAGCATCTGTCCCCGGGGTCCTGGCGCTGCTGAGAGACCCTGGCTCGGACCGTCCCACGGCCACTGACACCGTAGCCAGCTGCGAAGGGCCGGCGGCCACGGATGCTCTGGATCTCTCTGCAGAACTTGGAGCCACCGACGCTCTCGATCTCCCCACAGAAGCTGGAGCCACCAACGCTCTGGATTTCTCAGCAGAACCTGGAGCCACAGAGGCTCTGGACTTCTTGGATGTCTCTCTAGATACATCATCGCCTTCCAAGCCCAGGGCAGCCACGGCGCCGGGGGTCCCAGCCTCCCTGATGGCACTGGGGGAGCTGATTCGACTTCCACTCTGGCTCCCCGCCTTGCTGCGCTCTCTAGATCCCCTGCCTGGCAGGCTCAGCTGGTCCCGCCCCGAGGGCCGGGCGCTGCTCCGCGGCCCCAGCTCGGACGGACCCACGGCCACCGACACCGTGGCCATCTCCGAAGGGCCGGCAGCCACTGAGGCTCTGGATCTCTCCGAAGGGCCGGCGGCCACCGAGACTCTGGATCGCTCTGAAGGCCCAGCTGCTCCAGAATCTCTGGACACGGCGCTAGACCCCGGCTGGCTTGGCGTCCCCGTGGGGCTCCGGAAACGGGACCTGCCCTGCTCTGTGGAGGGGCTGGCGGGGCCCAGCTGGGCTCGGCTCCTCTCCACGCTCGGCTCCCTGGATCTCCTGCCTGGCTCCATCTCTCCGCCCATCCCTGAGGGCTGGGCGCTGCCCAGCCTGGAAGGACCTGCTGCCACCGACGCTGTGGCTACTGCCGAGCGCCCCACGCCCACGGAGGCCGTGGCCACTGCCGAGCGCCCCACGCCCACGGAGGCTCTGGATCGCTCGGGCGAGCTGGGAGCTGTGACGGCTCTGGATCCTCCAGACTGCGCCTTGGGCAGTGGGCTGCTCTCCCGCTGTGGAGCCGTCCCGGAGCCAGCCGGGCCCTGCTCCCCGCTGCTCTCCATAGCTGAGGGTGCCACGGAGCTGGTCTCCTGGCTGCCCTGGCCCGACAGCTCCACCACGCCCGAGATGGTGACCCGCTTGGAGGGCTTAGAAGACAACTGCGTCTTGGCATCTTCCTGGCTCCTTCTCTTTGGGGGGGGGGGGGGGCACAGAGAATCAGACGGGGCTCGGGGCTGGGGGGCTCAGGGCAGAGGATGCCGGGGGCGGGGGGCTCAGGGCACGAGCTGTGCAGGGGAGTATGGGGGATGGGAATGGTGCCAGCCCCCCTCCCCCAGCACATACAGTCCCCTTGCCCTGGGGAGCCTATGCCGGAGGCAGGTGTGGGCTCAGGCTCCGTGGCCTGCCTGGCCCTTCCCCGGGGGAGCTGGGTGGCGCCTGGGGACGGGGGCTCAGCCCCGGGGACCAAGGGCCGGCAAACTCGTCACACTGAGGGAGGCCGAATGGGAGGGGGCTGGATCCCACGTGTGATTCGCCTGCCTGAGCCCCCACCCAAGTGAGCCCCTGCATTCCCCCACCCGTCCTCGCCTCCCGCCCATCCTCACCCGCCCCCCGCCCGTTGCAGCCCGGCCCCCCGGCGCCCCCTACCTGTCTCAGCTTCCCGCCCGTCAGCTTGTCCAGCGAGTTCGACAGGGCGCTATAGATGGTCACGAACGTGAGGCTGCTCCTGTGCCTGGCTGAGGGCGTGACAGGGCGATGAGACACGGGGCAGCCACATGGGGTGCTGTGGGGCACGGGGTGAGGGAGTTCCGGCCAGGGCCGGCTCCAAGTTTTTTGCCGCCCCAAGCAAAAAAATTTTCCCGTGCCACCCCCAGCCTCCCCCAACTCCGCCCCTTCCCCCGCCCATTCCAACCCCTTCCCCAAATCCCCAGCCCCACCTCCTCCCCTGGGCACACCACATTTCCCCTCCTACCCCTCCCTCCCAGGAAAGCCTGGGAGGGAGGGGGGAGAAGCGGAGCGGCGGCGGGCTCGGGGGAGCAGGCGGCAGTGGAGCGGAGGTGAGCTGGGGGGGAGCGGTTCCTCCGGTCCCCCCAGGGTTACTTCCTGCGGCCCTCCCCGCACCCCCCACCGCTGCAGCTCACCTCTGCTCAGGGCCGGCTCCCGGCTTTTTGCGCCCCAAGCAAAACAAAAGGAGCTGGAGTGCCGCCCCTTGGAAAGTGCCGCCCCAAGCACATGCTTGGAGCGCTGGTGCCTAGAGCCGGCCCTGGTTCCGTCTCCCCAAGGCGGCGCCCCCCCCCCCTAGCGGGGAGTGCTGTGGGGCAGGGGGTGGGAATTTCCCTTGCTGTGGGAAGGAGAATTACCTCCATACCTGAACTCAGGGCCGATTTCAACTTCCCCTTCGACTCCAATCTCTGCTCCCTGCGGAGGAAGATCCACAGTTCAGTTTCCGGTGACCCGGGGGCCCGAATATCCTGGGATAGTCACGTTAGGGCCTTGGGTAGGGGTGACAGTACCATCCCCCTCCCATGTCCTGCTCAGCAACAGTGGGGTATGGGCCACTGCCTCCCATTTGTAAAGCTCCAGCCCCTGCCCTTTAGGTGAATAGAGAATCCCCCTCAGTCGGGAGCAGTACGGTGCATAGGATACGGTGTCAGAGAGATCCGACCACGGCCAGCAGAGAGCAGATAGTTTGCTTGCACTCACGCATACACATGGAGCAGGACTCTTCCTCTCCAGCAGGAGGCGACAGGGATACACACACACACACACACACACACACACACGCGCGAGCACACACAGAGCAGGTTTCATTACATAATAAGGATCCCAAAGCTCCTTACCCAAATCGATTATACAGCCTATAGGAGATCATTTCACTCAGTGCTGAGACGCGGCCCCTCTGGGGCCGGGCACAGGGGCTGCTCATACGGGGACCCCACACCCAGTGCTAGGATGCGGCCCCTCTGGGGTAGGGCACGGGGGCTGGTAATATGGAGACCCCTCATCCAGCCCTGAGATGTGGCCCATCTGGGGTGGGGCCCGGAGGCTGGTTATCTGTTTAACCGATACCCCACCTACCTGGATGACTTCTTGTGGCCGGTGCTGCTGGCGCTGGACCGGGCTTTGCCTTTGTCGCTTTCTCCAACTGTCGCCCTGGATCTCGTTCCCTGTCTCTTGGCTTGATCCAACCGGGAGCTGCTCCGGCTCCTCTGCCCAGAGGGGCCCACGGCCAGGGCCACCGTGGCGCCCTCCGAAGGCCCCACACCCCCAGGGAGTTGAGATCTCTCCGGAGGTGCAGCAGCAGCCATGGGTGAGCTGCCTGGCTCTGGAAAGCTGGGAGCCTTGGAGCCACTTGGCCGCTCATGGGAGCTGGGGGTCATGGTGGCTCCCGTTGGCCCAGGCGCCGCACTAGATTCACGCTGGCTCTGGGAACGGGACCCGGCCTGCTCCATGGAGGGGCTGGCATGGCCCACCTGGGCTGGGCTCCTCTCCCCGGATCTCCCCGAGGGCTGGGCGCTGGCCAGCCTGGAAGGACCCGCTGCCACCGAAGCAGTGGACGGTAGGGAGCGCCCCACGCCCACGGAGGCGGTGCCCACCGCTGAGCGCCCCACGCCCACGGAGGCTTTGGATCGCTCAGGGGAACCGGGAGCCGCGGCAGCTCTGGATGCCGCACTAGATCCACGCTGGCTCTGGGAACGGGACTTGCCCTGCTCCGTGGAGGGGCTGGCGTGGTCCAGCTGGGCTCGGCTCCTCTCCGTGCTGGGCTCTCTGGATCTCTCGCCCGGCTCCATCTCTCTGCACATCCCTGAGGGCCGGGCGCTGGCCAGCCTGGATGGACCCGCTGCCGCCGACGCTGTGGCTATCGTCGAGGGCCCCACGCCCACGGAAGCGGTGCCCACCGCCGAGTGCCCCACGCCCACGGAGGCTCTGGATCGCTCGGGGGAGCTGGGAGCCGTGGTGGCTCTAGACCTGGCACTAGATCCGGGCTGGCTCGGGGTTCCTGCCGGGCTCCGGGAACCAGAGGGGATGGCCAGGCTGAGCTGGCCACGGTTCCTTTCTGCGCTCGGCTCCCCGGACACTGGGCCCTGCTGTGGAGGGATCCTGGGGTAACGGCAGCTCTAAGCACCAGACCCCCCTCCCTCCCAGAGTCAGGGAGAGAACCCAGGCGTCCTGGATCCCAGCCCCGCCCCGCTCTAAGCACCAGACCCTCCTCCCCTCCCAGAGTCAGGGAGAGAACCCAGGCGTCCTGGATCCCAGCCCCGCCCCGCTCTAAGCACCAGACCCCCCTCCCTCCCAGAGTCAGGGAGAGAACCCAGGCGTCCTGGCTCCCAGCCCCCGCCCCGCTCTAAACACTAGACTGCACTGACACCTGTCCCGCAGACAGCGGCTGCATCACTCCTTGCTCAGCAGCGCCTCCTAGGCCCCGTGAAGAGCAGGGCAGACGGGGAACCCCTCTGGGCTAGTGTTGGGGGAAACACAGTTTCCCAGCACCCCGCCTTCCCGGGAGACGGGGGTCCTCTGCCCAAGGCACAGCCCCCCTCAGCCCCCTAGGTTGTCACCGCCGCCCGTCAGCCCTCACCTGCGTCCAGGGGCTGGCGACCTCCGCCCGGGAGCGGGAAAGACCATCAAGGAGTTGCATGGTGCTGGGGGAACGTCTCACCGGGGCTGCTGGGAAACAGGAGGGGAGTGAGGGGCTGGGAGTGGGGAGGGATCCCGGCTGCCCCAGCCCCATCTCTGCCAGCAGGGGGCGCTGTGAGGAGTAGGGCGAGAGCGCTGGCTGGGGGGGCTCCTGGCTGCTTCAGCTGCACCTCTGCCAGCAGGGGGCACTGTGGGGGTGCCCTGATTCCGGTACCAGCCCGTGCAGTACCTACCTATGCTGGGTGATGTGGGGCGTCCGGACCCCTGTCCCCCTACGCTCTGCCTGCAGAGAGAGAGAGCCCGGATCAGAACCGCCCGGCCTGTGGGGGAGGAGGGATGGCAGGGGCAGGCCCACGGGTCGGCTGGGATCCTCCGCAGATCTCAGAGCCCACGTACAGGGTCCCCCCAAACCCACCCTGATCTTCCCCCTGCGTCCCAGCCCCTGCCCCTCCATGCTTCCCTGCACCGCGGGCTCAAGAGAGACATAGGGGAGCTATCGGCTGGAAAGACCTCCCTGCTCTAACCACGGGGCCCTGTTCCCCTCCCTTCCAGAGCCGCAGCCAGAACCCAGGAGTCCTGGCTCCCAGCCCCCCCCGCTCTAACCTCTAGCTCCCACATCCCTCCCAGAGCTGCAGAGAGAACCCAGGAGTCCTGGCTCCCACCCACCTGATCTAACCACTAGACCCCACTCCCCTCCCAGAACTGGGGAGAAAACCCAGGAGTCCTGGCTCCCAGCCCCCCCGCCCTAACCACTAGCCCCCACTCCCCTCCCAGAGCTGCGGAGAGAACCCAGGAGTCCTGGCTCCCAGCCCCCCCACCCCACAGTCTCCGGCTGACCCAGCGGTACCTACGTGGAGGGTTGCTGCCCCCTGGTGGGGATGGCCGGGCTCTGCCTCCCGCTCGGCTGCCCTGGGCTGGGGGTCCGGCTCCCGCTGCTCGGGGGCTCCCCAAGTCGGGGTTTCAGGGCCCTGGGCTCCTCCTCCTCCTGGGTAGGCGGCAGCCGCCGGCTGGGGGGCAGCTGGAGAGATGGGGGAGCAGGGATGGAGAGATGGGGTTGGCCCAGCAGAACAGGATCTGCCCCCCACCCTGTGCCCCATATGTTGCCCTGCACTCCCCACACAGCGCTGCCCCCTGTCCACTCCGCAGCCACTGACCCCATGCTCCTCACCCCCCACGTTGCCCAGCCGGGTCCAGGGCCGGCTCCAGGCACCAGGCACCCAAGCTGGTGTTTGGGGCGGCACCTGGAGGGGGGCGGCGGCGCGGCGCTCTGGGGGGGGGGG